ACGCAAGTTACTTTTTTTTTTCCAATTTATTGATTGACAGCTCTCTTGTCCCAATGTTGAGAGAAATCAGAAGATGTTACTGTTGTTCTAAAATAAATATGAATATGCGTTAATTCATCTCACTCACAAAAAACCTTTTTTATGGAGTAACGCAATATTGTAATGCATTACTTTTAAAAGTAACTTTCCCCAACACTGCATTTGAAACATTACATTTGTGTATACAATATCAAGGACACAAATACTCAAATGTAGAACTCTAGAAAATATGATAATTTAATTGTATATATTGTGTTGCATCTGCCCCCCCATTTATGAGATTACTATTTTTGCCAGATTTTTGCCAAAATATGTTTTTGAAGATATATTTTTTCTTATGTCATACTTTCATGATTTTATGCTCTGATCTTTGTGAATCCAGAGAGAGAGAGAGAGAGAGAGAGAGAGAGAGAGAGAGTTTGGCCCAGGGAAGTGGCCCGCATATGGTGTTAATCATGCATGCTGTAATGTCTGTTTAACTGCATTCAATCATACGTACAGTATACAAGAAGAGACAGAAAGAGTCAAGCAGACAAGGAAATCTAGGTCAGAATGATGGCATTTTAGTGATGTTTCTGGGGCTGAGCTTGATTTTCCACTTCACTCAGCAAAGACCCACTGTCAACCCCACGCTCCTCCCTCCCCTTACACGGCAGCAGCTGGTGGTGCTGCAAAATGACTATGTTCATTCATTCATTCATGCTATAACCACATTTTCCTCTCTCCCTACTTTTATGACTTATTACCCGATTTAATCAGCGGGGAACTCTTATTTGAAACAACCAATATCTGAAAGAACTGGGCACTATTGTAAGTTGTCTCTTATAATAGGCCTAAGTGTTTGTTTGTTTGTTTAAAAGCATTTATTGAATAACTAAATTATTCATTAATAAATTAATAAAATTAAAAATGATACATTAATAATATGAGACTTTAATTTGTTTAAATTTTTGACTTGATTTAATGTATTTTGATTTTTCATTCTTATTTATTTATTATTAGGCCTATTATTATTATTATTAATTGAAAAATACCAAACCTACAAACATAGGGTATCCACATCAATACACGAAATGTATTTTTATCTGATAGTGAGGGTTTGCTGAGGAGTTTTGAATGACGTCCTTCAACTGTGGAGGTGTTGTGAAATTACAGATCATACTATGACTAAGGCTAAGTTTATGAATATCAATTATGTACAGCTGACGTGTGTTAATATATTCCAATTGCTATTGCTTGGCTCATATATATTAAATACTTACCGTTGACGCTGCACCGCTCCGTTCCAATAGCGAGAGCGTTGCTCATGAATATTAAACGCGAGACCTTCACAGTAGTAGGATTCGAAAATTCGCCGTCGGACTTCTCTTGCATGTGTGTGTAGTGGAGACTAATGTAACGCTGCCTGTCACCACTATAACAGCATCAACACACACCGCCCTCATCTACACTTCCGCAACTGCTGTCAGATGCCGTGTTTCTCCGGACAGTGTGGAATTAAGGACACATTTTCGGCCTTCTGGACCGCGGACACCTGAGACGCTCACGGCAAGTTACTGGGGATCGTACGAACAAATGTTAATTTATAACCTGGATCACTGCATATGTCCATTTGATTCTCCAGCACACACACACACACACACACACACACTGCTACGTGGTATTTCATTGTTATGAAATAAATGAATAATTTAACGCGAATGGTTGTATGAGCGTAATGAATGAATTTGGTAGTCTCATCACTTTCACCGGAGAGAGTTTATTGGTCCTGCAACATCACACACCCATATTTAATTCATAGCATTTGGTTCGGTAATGTAACAGTGGCATCTGTCCTCGTGACGCTTTGTAAACGGTGTAGTTCCAGATTGAAACACGTCTGATTGGTGTCGATTCTCTTTCATCTTTCGGCTGTCAATCATGATGACGCAGCGCTGCCAGTCATCCGGCGGTTTGTTTGATGTGTTGTGCTGTGGTCTGATGCTCGGAGATGTTGAGCTGCAGTGGGTCTGTGATGGCTGGTGCTGTGGGTGTGGTTCTGGCCGCCCGGTGTCTCTGGATGCACTGCTTACTGGGTTCCCACGGTGATGGGAAAACTGGAAATAACGCGGAATTGTGGAATCGTGATTTCCAGGCCTTGAAAAGTTGTGAGCATTTCTGCAGGCTATGAATATATATTTGTTCTAGTCATGCTTAGCTTCAGAATAGAGAAGAATGGGGCTAGTTGTCACACAGAGGACTTATCACTATAGGTCTAGCTAGGGTTGCCAACCGTTCCGTATAATACGGAATCGTCCCGTATTTAAGGCCTCAACAAAGCGCTCCGTATGAAAGCTATACGGAACGCAGTTTGTCCCGTATTTAAGGCATATGCCGTATGACCACCTAGACCATACGAATAACAAACTCTAAATTGAGAATTAATCATTCTTTTTTGACAAGTGTTTGATTTGTGATCAGGGAGGCTTTAAGACCAAGCGGAATCCTCCGCCGGCTGGTCGCTCCCGCTTCACAGCGAGCGGGATATGCGCTAATGGAGTTAGTTTATTTTTTTTTTTACGTCCGCGTTTCGACTTCAGCAAATCTTTTTAAAAAAATTTTTTTTATTATGCTTCCATTTACAACAAACAAACAAGGTACATAAACACATCACACAATCTCACAACACGCCACGGCCTTAGGTTGAGCATAACCAGTGATAAACAAGACTTCAGCAAATCAGTTTGGGCGAATGCAAACGTGATTCCAACATCCAGCCACGCAAGAAAATGTGCATTTTACCTGAGGGAAGACGTGATCAATAAGGAAAGTCGTCTTTCTTTAATGTATACCTAGATAAAACAATTTACATTTAATGGATGTAGGGTGAGAAATAGTATAGTAATAGTGATAGTAATAGTAAGGTTATTGGACATATTTGTATTACACAATAGGAGAACAGTTAACTGTTCATGAGGTAGATTGCCTATAGCCTATATACTGCCGTTCAAAAGTTTGGGATCAGTAAGATTTTTAATGTTTTTATTTTTATTTTTAAGAAGTTTCTTATGCTCATTTTTGATAAATAAAAAGTTTAAAAGAACAGTATTTATTCAAAATAAAAAATATGTGTTAAATATACTGTACACTACTATTCAAAAGTTTGGGGTCAGTAAATTTCTTTTTTCTTTTTTTTTTTAAAGAAGCTTTTAGAATACTTTTATTCAGCAAGGATGTGTTAAATGGACAAAAAAGTGATATTGTTAGAAAATATTTATATTTTGAATAAATTCTGTTCTTTTTAACTTTTAATTTTATTTATGGAACACAGGTTCCCAAAAAAATATTAAGCAGCTGCACAAGTTAACTGATAATAAATCAGCATAAGAATGATTTCTAAAGGATCATGTGACACTGAGGA